TAACGGACTCGTTTGTTTAAACGGTGTGAAAACGGTGTATTTTCTCCTCCCGCTCCTCTGCAGACTCCTTGGCGAGCCGCCATTGCAGGCAGGGCGAGTGTTTGTCTCACACTGTTTAACTGTCATTGGACGCTTTTGACGCCTTATCGCCTTGGCAACCCCAGCGCGTGACGGCAGCGCGCGCTGCGGCGACCGTTATTTGCTTTATTTTACTTTGTATATTTCTTTGGCGCCCGCATTCTGACAAGCCCCGCCCTCCTGCGCTGGGATTGGCTAGGCATCGATGTCTAGGCGCTGGGATTGGCTGCTCACGCCGGTGGAACCAAAACGAGCGCCAATCGACAGGAGAGTGTATTGTACGACCCAGTCATAGCGCAGGAGGGAGGGGGTTTGGCGGAATACGGGTGGGAAAAGAAAATAAACACGACTGTACGAGGTGACTGGCACAGATCGCCTCTGGAATGGAACCACAGCGCAGCCCAGTGGCCGCTACGGTGAATTACACCGAACTCAACACAGCGAGGCAACTTTTGTCCACAAGGGGGCAGCGTTAACTCATAGCATGTGCAGTAAATTCCTGTGGAAAGCGGCCTGTCTGTCCCAAAGTGTTCAAGCAGCCATTCTAATGAGTGAATACAGCTACTTTATTGTGCATCAATTGCTGACACAGGCCTTACACCTCTATAACCCCCATAGACAAGCATTGTTTAGTAGAATGGGATGCTCTGGAGCAGCCAAACATGAGCCTAAGATCACCATGTCCAGTGCCAAGCGTGGGCTAGAGGGCTATGTTCTCTGGAGTGATGGAGCTCCATTCAGTGTCTCTGGGATGAGCTGGAGTGTTTCTGAACAGATCACCCAACATGAGTACCTGGCCTCACTAATGTTTAATCAGATCCTCACAGCAATGCTCCAACATCTAGTGTAAAGCCTTGAGAGAAGAGTAGAGGCTGTTACTGCAGCAAAGGAGAACAAACTCACTATTAATGACCCTAATTTCTGAAGAAACACTGCAGTGTTAAAAATGAAAGATCAACTTTTATAAAGTAACTGATTGAGTTATGTAGAGAAAGGCTGTGCAGTGTGAGGACAGAAGAGTTCTCCCAACTCAGACTTCACAGTTTAGTCAAAAGTTCTCTTATTTTTTAGCTCTGCTTCTCAGTTTCTCCACCAGCTGGAGCCCTTTCACAACACAATCCTGTCACACAGTTTCTCCTCTTGGGTGATCACTCACGGATGGCTGTGGCATCACTTGGGCTCAAACTCACGATTTGACGATGTTTAGACTTTAAAAAGTAGCACGATCACATGGTGAATAAAGAATCATCCCAACATCAGGAGGTTGTGAGTTTGAAGCCCAGCAAAGCCACAGCTGTCCACATCTGGAAGCCCAATAGGAGAAGATGTCTGATGGGACTGTGTGATGTAAAGAGTCTCACAGAGTGGAGAAACTCAGTAAAAACACATAGTCTATAATCTGTTTACCTAACAGAACTAGAAAAGAGAGCTGGAAAATCTTTCTACTGAACTAAGAAGTTTGAGTTGGATGAACTCTGGTGTTGTCAAGTTGAGTTAGCTCAAGAAAAGTTCTGTAATCATTTACTTTAAGCTATTTTAAGTTGAACTGACCTCATTTTTTTACAGTGCGGAAGTGTAGTTGAGTTAATCATTATATATATATATATGTATACATATATGTATGTATGTATATATATACATATATGTATGTATGTATATATATATATATATAGTTTGTATATGTATATAACATAGTTTGTATATCAATGCTATAATAACCATTTCCTCTGTATGTAGCTGGCAGTGGATTTAAGGTGGCAGTGGATTTAAGCTGGCAATGATATTTTTAAGTTAAATTTGAAAGCCTATTTATTGTTTCGGATATTTGAGTCATTTTAAACCCCATGCCTCCAGTGTTCTTCTCTGTCCCACCATCAGTAGCTCGTCTTTTGCCTTTGTCTTATTATCTCTTTTGATCTGCATTTTATTTTATATTATTTTATTTTAATTTATGGTGTAGTTTTGTGTAGTTTTTACCTGATTAAATTGATGTGTTGTTTAAGCGACCTTATTCTGCAGCTCTTTGGCCAACACCCGTCTTTAGGTGTGCTTTATAAATGTAAGTGACTTGATTTTACGTACTTTACTATTTTCTAACCAAGTCTTCAATTAATTCTTACCTACAGTATACTATTACTGTGGTGGGTGGAGTTGGGTTGGTCCATCGTCGCTCAGGACCCCCAGATGTCCAGAAGCGGCCCAGGCGGAGTGTGTAAAGTGTATAAAGTCTCCATAGCGCTGTGGAGATCAGCTGAGGATAAAACACACATAGACACTCACACCAGCCCATAAAAGGACAACCAGCAGGACCATCATGGAGTGGGGGTGGGGGGAGTTGTTGGGGGGCTGGCACACTGGTACAGCTGTTTGCAGCTGAAGTGTATAATTTACTCTACACACACACACACACACACACACACACACACACACACACACACACACAGTGCACAGAACACTGAGGTAATGCTTTATTTTACAGTCCAGCTCT